ACATTATTAAATGATTAGTTTATTATATACTGCGTATTAGATTTATATTACTCTCACAATCAGATTAAACTTTAATAAATCTTATTTAATTCTTTTGATAAAATATATAATACATTGTTCAGAAATTTTTTAAATTTTATTGCGTAGAACGCAGAACAGTGAAGTACGACATGGACGTACGAACGATCTTAAAAAAGAAGAAGAAAAAAATCAAAATTTGTTTTTATTCTATAAATATTAATATTATGATTAATCGCGTATATAGTTTCGAAATAAAAAAAAAAATAAATGATTTCTTACCGCGCTAAAAGTTTCCATAGATATTACGAACATATTTGCGGCAGTTAACTTGCAAGGTTCTCGTGATCTAATTAACATAATATTAATTACTTTTCTCGTTCTAATTGTGGTTTGATACCATTGCACATTTATTCTATAAGAATTAATATAAAAGTTAAACGTAATGTTAAAACTTTTGGATTTTTAATAGTTATAATTATATCAAATAAATAATAATAATAATAATAATAATAATAATAATAATAATAATAATAATAATATAATAAAATGTGTATGATTATTAACTTACAAATGTTCATGCATTTGACTACTGTGATCCATGAGACGTTGAGCACTTACACTTTCAAAAAATAAATGAGCTAATTGTGCATAAGAGAATAACAATTGTCGAAGAAACATTGCCATTTCATCCATATACATAAAAGCCTAAAAAAAAACGTATATAATATATAATTATATGGAAATAAAATGAAATTGAATTATTTTGAACATAGATGAAAATGAATCGTGAATGATATGTACTTGTAAACTCGTAATACTCATTGCGATCATAATAAGTCCTGCTTGTAGAAAGAAACACGTGGAATAATAGGATTCCATCAAATTAGCAAACCTTGATAAAAGAAATTATTGCATTTTTTTTTAGAATTATTCATCGTTTAAATATCATACAAGACATATAACATTAAAGGAAAATAATTCATTATATTACGAACTCAATCGCTTTCTGGTGCCTATAAATGCATTCGACAATATTTTTATAAGGTTTATCATCTTTTATAGCAACATTTATATCTAAATCCAATTTCTCTTTTTCTGCCAAATGATAAAGTTGATATCTGGAAAAATATCGTTTGGATATTATTTTGTACTCGTTTATAACACAATTGTTAACACTTAAATGATCGCATATTATTTCACATAGGATTATTCTCTAACATAAGATCGATAATTTTGTCGTTTCGAAACGAAAAAACAAATACGTGTAAATATTTAAAAATTGAAACCCAAAAAATTCGTTTTACTCGGGGATAATTAAGAAAAAATTAATTATTAATATTAAATATGTTATTAGATAAAAGGAAAGAACTTTGATTGCAAATGGGGGTTGAAAAAAAAAACATGAATCACATACATACCCTAACGTTGAAAATAATCCGCAAACGTGTTGTATGAAAACCAGAAACATTGTGTCAGTTGCAATAACTACAGAAATACAAATAACAATGGTAACGTAAGAATGAAGAATAATAAAATAATAATATTTTTCTTTATCCACGAAATATTCAACGTGATGTATCAATGGTCGTTCAGCCGTTTCGTTTAACGTATTAAAAATAAGTGGTTTCAATGGCGTAATCATAAATATCACCATTGCCCCATACAAAAAGCCTAGAAAATTGTGTCCAATTCGTGTAAGATTAACTTTTCATTTTTGACAAATGGTTTTTTTTTCTTTTTTCTTTTTTTTTTTTAAATTCTACTTTCATTTACCTGCGTATATAATTGTAAACTTTCTACCATCTTCGGCGTATTTTTTAAGAGTACGTGTTTCGTCAGCTTTTGTATATGAAATAATATCTGTACGAATACGATCAATGAGTATCTCCATCTACGATTAAATAATTTTATTCATTTTATATATTAAATCATGAATAAAATCAAATATAAAAATAAAAGAAATATACAAGAAGGATATTACAATTGTATTCGAAGAATACGACATGATCGTGTTACCTTGTTCATTTTAAATTTACAATTTACTATTTTAATTACGCTAATGAAGTCAACGATGAACGGCGACAAGTTTTCCAATAAAACATCTATTTCATTTAATGAAATTATTAAAGCGCACAACTATATATAAAAAAAAAAATCAAAGGAAAATATTAAATAACGTCGAATAAATTTAATCTATGATCAAAAGAAAACTAAGAGGTAGAGAGGTAATTTAATAAATTGATTGATACCTTGGCTATATATTGAGTACCAGCTAATAAAAATAATATAAATAAAGTGACATTTCTTCGTGTGATCGTTTGATAAGGCCATTGTCCGATAAAGGATAATAAAACTTTATTGATCTTATAGTGACGACCGTCAAAGAAGTCCATTACGTTGGAGTACTATTAAATAGACACTAAGAGAGAAATACCCTTTCCTTATGGAAATGCACATAATACATTCACTCATTTTCTTGTCATTTAAGATTCCCTTAGTGACAATAATAGCTGTGTTACGATAAGAGGACATTCGCAATTATGTATGTAACATGTGTCCATTTACACACGTACATTAAAACGTTAAACTTATGATCAACAATTATTCCCGATAGTTTTCCTTTGAGTTTCTATGACGGATTATTATTTCTCTTTTATTGTACATTCAACATTGTAGGATAATCACTTTTCTATTTTCTCCCCTTTCTCTCTATTGATATTTCTAATACTTCATTTTTATGTTCGCGATATAAGTTAGTCAGAACTTTACTTACAATCTATTTACATTTTTTTTTTTAAACATAATTTATTAATATTATCTTCTAATATAATAAATAGAAATAAAAAAATATATATATATAGTTGGTGGATTCAAATAATTCGTTTAATAATGCAGCAAGTAAAATCGATTGATCATGAATTCGATTTAATTCGATATATCGAGAGTAGTTTCATGATTTGTCGATAGATGGCAGTGATTGAACTATCTAATTTATTGTGTACAATGTTAGGAGTGATCATAATATTTGTTAAACTGTCATTAAAAAGTATTTTCGTTAGAAAAATTTATCGATTAATTTGTTAGGTAATCAAAGATTTTGTTTCTTTTTAAACAAAATTATATTTGTACATATTATATAAATATTAATAATACGTATTTTTAAATCGGGCAAATGATTAACAGACAAGTGACGTTATTGAAACGAAATTGTATCAAATATATTATTCATTTTTATTAATATGACAATGAAATACTTGTTTAATTGTTTTATTAATTGATTATTAGATATATTTATAATATATATGTAACATCGAATAAATTATATGTTACTTTTGTTATACATATATACATATATATTTAGAGATATTATATTTAGACAAGATTTAGACTAAAATTAAAAAGATGCAACGAGAAGAAAAACAATTAGATGCTACCCTAGAGGCTACTATTATGAGAGTCAATGACTTGAAAACATCTATTGCATCAATGATATTTAAATTAGAACACGAATATGAAACTTTAAATTGGCCAAATTTTCTCGATAACTTTGCTCTTATTTCTGGACATGTAGGTAAACTTATCTATTATTAGATTGTATGTATATCAATTCAATATCTACTATAAATAATAATTCTTTTATAGTTGACCAGTTTATCAAAGATACTTAGCCACGACAAGGCTCCAAATTTAAGAAATCTTACAGTTTTGCCTTTGCGTTTAAATCCTGAAAAGGATGAAGAATTGCTTCGATTAACCGAAGGCAGAATTCCCACATTTGCTCATGATTCAGTACCGGATTATTTAAGAACCAAATTGGAACCTCAAGTAGAACAAAAAATGATGCAGCTAGAAGCCAAAGCAGCTAATTTAAATCATGAAGCTTCACACGTAAGACAATTCTATATTTTTGTGTACGTATAACAAGTAAAATATTTTCACAATTGAAAATTTGTTAGATAAATAAGCATTAAAGTAATTTATTCTATTTCTTTGTTAATCTGCTAACTTAACCACGACTAGGAATATAATGTAAGCTACCACCAGATAGCTTGTATTTTTGTCAGTTCCATTAACTTTGGACTGTGATTAAGATAAAAGCTTAATTAATATTTATTTATAGTTTATAATTAAGCATTTGTCATATACAGTTCATTTAGCCAATGGAACTCACAAGAACAGATTTCATATGAATTTCTATGGGTTTCAGAAACAAGTCACACAATATACTAAAGTAATTAGTCATGTTTGGGATATAGCGAATAAAGCACGAGAGGAATGGGAAAGCGAAGCTGGTTCTAGAGCAACACAAGCCCAAACAAGTAGTGCAGCAGATACTCATGCACTTGTTGCTGCGGTTGGAATGGGAAAAGGATTGAAAGTAATAATTGTATATTTTTTAAAATCACAATATATTCATTCATTTTATTTACATCGATGCTATAAAAATATTATTGTTTAATTACTTTAATAGTCAGATTCAGTTCCAATGGTCCAATCAAATGTTAATCCTGTACCAAGTGGTATGATGGTAGGCAGACCTGCAAACCAACAACAGTCTGGAGGACAAGGACCTCTTGGAAATACGCAAAGTAACTAAATAGTTTCTAAATCATCGTATAATACTTTATAGAATTCTATTAATTTTCATTTATTTTGATACAGTGGGACAAATGAACAAAGCTCCTAGTGCAATCAAAACAAATATCAAAGCTGCGTCACAAATTCATCCTTATGGAAGATAGGAAATATTAATATTTTAATTAGAACATGAAACATTATTGCTGAAAATGTATACATGTTGTACAATATTTATACATTTTCTTTTCTTTTTGTAATTCTATTTAACGAGATGTTGTTTACTTTTTGTGCTATAATAGCATTAGATCGTGGAGATAATATATTATTCATAACAGGAATAATAGTAGCATTTAAGCCTTGTTCTCGTAACCAACACAACCGATCTTGTAAGACCATTGATTCTGCTGGTGCTTGTAAAATTAATTGTAAGCCAGTATAAATTTCAACTTGTCGTAATCTTTGACAATGATGTTTCCATAATTCAGTTATCTCATTTTCAATCGTTTCGTGGTCATTAAATTTTCCTTAAATACAAACAAGTTCATTTTATGATTTGTGTGATAATCTCTCTCTCTTATGTAACTATGAAACATAATATTTTACCTTCTCTTTGTGGTATAATTTCATTGATTGGTTCCAAAGTATATCGCAGTAAAGTATCCTTCACGTAATTTTCAATACTTGAACATTGAGATCGTCTTGTAGCTTTCCGAACTTGTTTTCTTAAATGTAACTTATCTAAAATCAATTATATGAATTATATAATATAATATAAATATATATATATACACACGTTTACTTACTTTGTTTTACATATAATCCAAACACAGCTCTAGAAAGTACGTGAAAAGCATGTATATCATGTGAATCCTGTGACATATTGATCCATCTTTCAGCAGGCTCTTGACATGCTAATCTTAAAAATGGTTGTCTTAAGAATGTACTAGTATCTAAATTAGAATAAGCAATTGCTTTCTGAAGGCATTGTGACATTGGAAAATGATCAAAATGTTGTACGCTATTAGAAATTACATTTTCATTTTTGGATACAGAAAGCTTATGGTAACAACAAGAAATTAAAATCAATAACTGTGCATTCTTCATATTATTGAATATTTTTGATACATATACGCTTAAGTCACCACAAGCATGTAATCCAATAAAGCAAATATTATCGATTTTTCCAAATTCAGATAATACTAGAGATTCTATTGTCTCTATGGAATGACACGATAATTTACATAAGGCATATTTAACATGATTTACAGATGTCGGATAGATTTTCATTTGCCTATTACGTGCTATATTTATATTTGTTTCATTCCCATCTAATCCGAGTACTTTATATCCATATAAATGGTACAGTAATTGACTAACATATCCCTAAAAAAAGAAATTATATACTTTAGTATAATATATATTTAATCTAAATTATAACTTTTGTGAAACAATACATTCTTGATATTCTTATGAAAAAATATTGATATCTTACCAGACCACTACCAAAATCAATAATAACTTCTATATTTAATGTTTTACATTGTGTATGTATCAATTCTGCGAAATGTATTATTTCGTGTTGTTTTTTGGGATTTAACCCTCTTATAAATTGATGTGGCACTTTCAATGTTGTTGAGGGATTTACATGTGATAACTTATTAGTATATTTACATTTTTCTATGAAATTCTGAAGTGTTTTAGGCCATACAGACTGCAATATTAAAAAATAACAATTATCAAATGTTTATAAATGTTGGAAAATATTTTTTCAAAATAATTTTTATCAACACCAAATTTATATCATCCAAACATACGGTACTTACGTATTAACGCCACCGCGGCAAAAATTGAATGCTTAGCAAGTGTGGATAACCTAAACCTAATTTTTTGATGATTAAATATAAAATGAAACACTTTTTATAAAATCAAACACTTTAGAAGCCAAAAAAATTTTTTTTAAAAGTAAAGTATTTATTACGATTTTGATGGAAAATGAACTGATAAAACCACCTATCTTCTTGTTTGGTTTATTAACCATATCTAGGACACATAATTCACGCATGTAATTGTTCCAATCTATAACAGTTTTGTCCGATAAGTCAAGTTGCTTTTTACAAAATTTAATTGACGTTAACTTCTCGCACCAGCAGTATATGAATCTCAAAGCTGAACAAAATGTAATTCTGCTAAACTCAAACCAGTTGTCTTTTCTAAGTCCCACTTGCTGATCGCACTGTCTTAGATTACATTTCCAAAAGCTACGTTTACCAAAATAAAGCTTCATATCATGAAAATTTGTACATTTTCGTTCTTTAAGTAAGATATTTTGCTCTTGAAAAAATAAAATTGCATCTCGTTCTGTTGTTGGCAAATCCCAAATACGCATTCTCATAATACTAAAAGTGGGGCTAAAAATTAGCACACAACAAATAATAAGAAAACCAAAAGATAGCTTCGTGTGCAAATAAATAACAAGTTTTTGCGTGTAAACAATACAGCTACTATATATAAACAACAAGATTGCCTTTTATCGGCTTTTTAATAGAATTTTTGCCGCGGTGGCGTTAATACGTAAGTACCAAACATACTTACCAATGTTTTGTTAACAACAAAGTTATTTAATTCTTCGCTTGATAAAATTTGCAATACATCTAACCATTCTTTAGGAATAGCATCTAACGATCCTTTAACTAATATTTCAGTAACTGGATGGTTATAAATCCATTGTGTCTTATGGAATAAATATAATGCTTTTAGAAAATATTTATTTAACAATTCTTCATCCCGTTGACAAAACGTCATAGTTATATGATAATTGAGAGATAAATAATTTTATATCTCCTACCACGTGCACGATTATTATTAATTTATTAATTATACAAAATATCATTTAAAATTATTATAACTTTTTAATGTGTTTTAACTTGAGTCTATCTGAATTGATTGAAGCGCCTTCTAATGTTATTTTTAGAAAACTTTAGAAAATGTAAAACGCGCGTTTAATGAATATCTCAAATTTATATTAAAAAAAAATAAAATTAACTTTATTTTATTATTACTTTTTGAAATGTTTCCTCCGTTTAAATTTATTTCAATAGAATTTCAACAAATAAAAATATTATATCAGATTTCTTTTTATACGATAGGAACTGTTAATTTTTCTAGAAATATAATACGATAAGAAAAAAGAATTTTTTAATAAAGAAAACAAAACAATTATACAAAAGAAATATTAATATAATTATATATAACTTTCTACATACACAAAATTATTACAAATATATTATTATAAATATATTGTTACATAGGAAAACACGAAACCTCTTATTTCATCTGTATAATAACCAATACAATAACAATTAATAATAACGTTTATATACACTTTCAATCGTATTTAAAATATTAAGTATTTGTTATTTAATGAGATTATATATTAATTTAAATATTCATAAATATTAGTTTTCTCTCTTGTTCTAATATAAAATAATATCTTTTATTTCATATTCTGTTATGAAGATTTTACACCGCCATTACTATGACGACATCAGCGCCAATGTTTATTATTAAAGACTCTATCGGTAATGTAGATATTTGGCACTTTCTACTTATGATAAGAAATACCAACACACTTTGGGTGTAAGTAAATTAATTCATTTTTTTATACAATTTTCTAGATTTATGACGATGATTATAAATTATTCAATTACTTATAAATATTCTTTATAATTTAATGTTTTATTTGATAGCTCGTTATTATAAAATTCTGTCAACATTTGAAGCTTTTATATGTTGGAAAAAAAAAATATTTGTTTGTAACTATTAAGTTTGATTATTACTTAAGATCTTCTTTATGTCTTCAGATACAAATTTCCCTCAAAAGTTTTTCGTCTAACATAAATAAACATAATATATACACTGTATACATTTTCTTATAAATATCTTCAAAATAATATTAATAATTTAGAATTAATAATAATTATTTGATAATACTTATTCAGTTGATAATTGTACTTCAACTTATTGTTTTTCTTAATTATTATGAATAGTCCAATTTTCCATTTGTCTTTGCGACAATTCATTATTTTGTGGTCCAAGAAGCGCACGACCAATTTTAATACCTCTTTGTTCTGGTTTTAAGAACTTTTCAAGTACTTCCATAATCTGTTCTTTGGTTACACTTTTTAATTGTTCTCTTTGTACTTGTATGTCATTATCGGTAATCTTATTAGTGAATTTAAGCATACCGCGTTGGGAAGGAGATAATGGAGCATCAATTTGTTGAAAAATGGCTAGTTTTGCTTCGTCTATCTCTCTTTGAGACAATTTGTAATTCTGAAGAAATTCGTATGATTTGTCAAAGATATCAAATGTTTTAGTTGAATTAGGATCCCGATAAGAGTAGAACGTAAATGTTCCAGAAGTAGTCAAGTAAGCTCCACCACCGTAAGCTCCAGCCTTTTCTCGAATTTCAGGGTGCAAATAAAGCGATGTGAGAAGTCTGGATAGTATTCGCAATGTGGCATATTCTGGATCTATATATGGCACTGTTAAAATTGCTTTTGATGAATAATTAACTGTGTATGGTAAAACATAATGAATTGCATTTTGTTTGGTGTTATTATCATCATCTGCAGCTGTAGTAATAATATATGGCTCTTTTATATCATCTTTTAACGACTTGTAAAACGAATTAATACTTCGTAAGATATTTTCTTTATTTTCATTAGAGAAATTAAGAGCAGATCTTAAATGTTGTTTGTTCAAAACATATCCAGCTATTTCATTCATTTGATGTAATATTGGAGTTAAATCTTCAAGTTGCGCTATGTTCTTCATTCTTTTTATAAATTGTAATCCAGAATAATTTTCTTTAAGATTAGCTACTGGTGAAACTAAGCTACTAGCAATCGTGGATGCATAACGGTGTCCTTGACTGGCAATTCCACTCACTAAATATGCCGCATTCGTTTTAACTAGCGTTTCAAATCTTTGAAGATCATCTAATTTGACATTATTGAATAATTCTAACCATAATCCCCACATATCATTTATATTTCGGTCCAAACAATATGATTCTATCATAATACCTTCTTCGTATTGCATGACATTACTTTTATGTTGAGCCACATGAGTATCAAAGGTTAATCCACCAGTTTTTAACTGTATCATTTGATCAAAACTTCTGTAATCATAATTATTTGTAGCCATTTTGTCTATAATAGTAGTGAAAAGTGGTAGCAGATCTTTTAACTCTTGTGGTAATCTCTGCGTATTAATTATTCCACGATAATAAGAAATTCCATTTGTTGGTTGTACGGTCACTTGTAATGGAACACCAGAGACGTTTACATTCAATAATTGATATCGTGTTACATCCTCTTTCAAATCCTCGACTTTTAAAGTAGGAAGTACGTCTTTATTATCTTTTTTCTCTTTTTCCATTAGTAACATCTGTCCTTGCTCATATATTTGATCTAATTTGTCTTTAGACAATTCGTTCAATTTTTTTGTCAACAATTCTTGTTCAGCAGCAGCTTTTTTATCATCATATTTTTCATCAGGTGTCATTGTTACAGTCAATCTATGATTATTATTTATTAAATATTTCTGCACTAGATCTTGGAGATATCTAGGATTGTTCTTCATTTTATCTAAGAACTTTGTAACTAATTCATTTATTCTCAATGATTGCTTAATATCACAATCATGATTCCATAGAGACATTATCTTAAAATAAATACCTAATCCAAAATTTGAAGATTGATGTTTCACGCTTAATTCGATACCATGTAGAACAACTTCTATTTGGTTTTGTTCAAAACCTTCTTCAACAACTTTTTGTAAAGTTTCATTAAAAATTTGTTCTACTTTAGAAAAATCTTCAGGCTTCACACCTTGTAGACTCACGGTAAACATTGCATCTTTACGTTCTGATTCATATCCAGTACTTGAACCATAACCAGTACTTATATTTGATTCTATTAAGCTTTTATAAAATGGCGCATTAGGACCATCTAATAATAACTTAGCTAAAACAGCTATTTCAAATGATAGTTGCAAATCGGTTATATCATTACACAAAAATCCTATTGCAATAGAACCATTCCTATTTGGATCTGCAATCATAGGATCTGGTCTACAGAAAATATGTTCATGTTTAGGTTTATCCCATCGTTTTTCTGAAGGAACTAATGGTACCGGTGTATCACTCTTATTCGATGAGAAAAGATATTGATCATTGATGAACTGTAGATGCCCTTCAAGTGGAAAATTGCCATACGAATAAAATCTTGCATTGGAAGGATGGTAATGAGTATTATAAAAATGTAAAAGATCGCTATGTTTCAAAGTAGGTATAACAAGAGGGTCTCCTCCAGATACATGCGCATAAGTGTGACTTGGTAGGATTAAATTAAAATATTTTTGCGCTAATATTGTTTGATTTTCATTAAACACTCCTTTCATTTCATTAAAAACTACTCCCTTGAAAATAATAGGAGAATTTTTATCATTTACGTCGGTATGTTCTAATCTCCATCCTTCTTGGCAAAAATCTAATTCTCTTAAATTAGGTTTAAATACACTATCTAAGTACACGGATTGCAAATTCCTGTAATCTTGTAAATTTTGTGTCGAAAATGGATACATTGTATAGTCCGGAGCAGTAAGGGCATTCATGAATGTAACTAAAGATCTTGAAAGCATTTGAAAGAATGGATCTTTAACTGGATATTTTTCACTGCCACAAAGAGTCGTATGTTCTAATATATGTGGTACACCGGTAGAATCTTTAGGTAGGGTGCGAAATCCAACACCAAATACGTTATTACTATCGTCTCTTGCTAAATGTACATATTGTGCTCCGGTAGATAAATGTGTAAGCCTTATTGCAGTAAGATATATTTCATCTATTTTTGCTATTTCATCTACCATAAAACCATGTAGAACAGTTCCCTTCTGGAATTTATCCGACAGACTATCTATCCCATCATGATTTATTCTTTCACATTTTACATTTACAGAATAAGGTCGCTTTAAGCTATGCAATATGTTCTTTTTCTTTAAATAGTTTTTGCGTACAAATGTCAGTAATCTTAACATTGTGATTATCACTAAAAAGAATCAATAAACATATGTAAATTAATTAAATTGTATTGGTAATATAATGTTATGCTTTCAGATTAGTACAATTGATCAAATTTTCTTCATTAATTAAAGTAATATAATAGTTAATACATAACAATTAATTGGAAAATGAGTAATAGAAAGAATTAATAAGTAGTAATAAAACTCACAGGTATTTTATTCTGAATTATCATGAATTGAATGAAAGATATTTACTTTATATAATTTCTACAAAATATTTCAGAGTTTTATTTAAAACAAACGTTTATTGAAATAATTCTTAATAACACATACAAATTGTACAAATTCTGATGCAATAAAGCGGTAGTCGTCAATGATGCGTTACAAGAAATTATACCACGATTAATGACTTTATAAATATAAATTTATTTATTACCTTATATTTTATATTGCCTTCCTATGTAAACAAGTTTTGACAATCTAATTTGACACGACAGATTATTACTTTGTATTTTTTCGGTTAAAAATCAAATTGAAAACGAATGGTTGATCAGAAGTTTAACCGATTTTAATCGAACAAGGAGATAATAATCATAAGAATGGCCATTTTATATTCACAAATTTACAGTCTCCAGAATAATGGCGCCATTGCAAAGGCATTATGAAATCCGTTTATAACATCTAGATATACCAAAGGGAAATTTATAAATTTAATATTCCATTTGATATTTTTATTGTGTAACATAAAATAAATCGAAGATTTTTTGTTTAACTCATAGCAAAAAAGACATTGGATCTTTTGTTAAATATAATAAACGAAATATGGAAGAAGAGGAAAAACCATGAACAGAGGACATTGGAAAGAAGAAAGATTATTGGTTGTTGAAGAGTTGACGGATTGAAGATGATTGGTGAGTTAACTTTCGAACGGATCAATGGGATGTCAGCTGTCACGAGGGTCGCCATTTTGCGGTGAAATTTATAAACTCGTTGAATTCTTTCGAATACGTAATAGGTGCATCGCGTCGAATAAAAGGCTTAAGTTCTATGACGAACGAAAGAACGCGCAAAGTGCTATCGGTCTGACTTCCGTGGGCAATACAGAGAGCGAGACCGTCAACCGATTGTCGTGAGACTGTGTGTTAGAGGTCCAACATGGGCCGCGGATGAGTGCTATCAACCGTGACCGATTTATGCCGGAACGATCGGCGTTAAAGTGTCGCGCGTTGTAGTTATGAGGGTGAAGCGTTCTCGATCATATTGCAAGCGCTTCGGCGAATTGTCGGTACGCGCGAGTGGAGGCTCTCGAATGGCGCCCACGCAGGACCTAGACCGGAGAGTGCGATGCTAATAAGTAGTAATAATAATAGTAGTTGTAGTAGTAGTAGTAGTAGTAGTAATAGTAGTAGTAATAATAGTAATAGTAATAGAAGTCCAGCTGACTCTGACAAAATGGTAGGGCCCTCTCTGTCGGCGGGAGGTTATAGATTCGTACGTGCTACATAATCCGGTACCGTCGCGGTTAGGGTACGATGAGTACTGATAATCATGATCAGTCCAAGCCCAAACCACCACCACCATCATCGCTACCATCATCATCATCATCGTCAACATCATCTTCATCATCTACATTATCATCCTCATCATCGTCATCATCATCATCAGCAGCAGCAGCAGCAACAACAGCAACATTACCACCACCACCGCCGCCACCACCGTTACCACCTCCACCTGCGATACCGCCATCGCCATCACCACTATCATCGTCTTCTACGCGGAACAACGTACCCATCGACGAATACGCTTTCGACGGCACGCGCATCAAGAAAGAACAAAGTGACACTTGTATCGAGAACGGCGACGGCACCGGTGCCAGCAACGTCAGTGGAGCAAACAGTGGTGGTGGCGGTGGTACTGGTACTGGTCTTGGTGCTGGTGCTGGAGGAAACGTTGCTGCTATCACAAAAGCCGGTATCAACGACAACAAGAGAGGACCGGGGGGTACCCCCGCTGCTCCAACTGCTGGTAGACTCTCCAACGGGTTCCACGAAAGCGACCTACTTCAGGACATCATCGCGGCCAAGTTCACGACCCTGGCGAATCACGGTTCCACCGGCAAAAACGACAAGATTCGTCTGATGATCGAGGACAGCGTCAGGTTCATATTTTTCATTATTTGTTTTCATTCCTTTTCCTTTTTATTTCATTATTCTCATTCATAGGCTTTTCATATCTTTTCTTATTTCCTTTTTTTTTTCTTTTTTTTTTTATTCACAATTTATTCAGAATACATATTAATGATTTATATTACATTAAAGTTCGTAAATTAATTAATTGACGCGCACGCAATAGGTGAATCAACGTAACCCAAGTCGTTTCGTGTAAAAATCGACAAGTACTTTATTAGATTAAAAAGATATAGATAAATTCTTATTACTTTCTTTACGTTTTTTCTTTTTCTTTTTTTTTTTTTTTTACCACATTGTATATCTTTTATTGCAATTTCATACCTGGGAAAGATTGTTCTGTTTATTTATAATGTATTCTCGTTCGAGAATAATTCGCGCGAATGTTTTATCGAATGGAATAATATATTTACGTTATGTCGGTAATGTTTCTTTTTCTTTTTCTTCTTTTTAAATAGTATATTATATTAATCTCGTTTGAAATATTTTCGAGTGTTAGGCCGAATAATCGATATCGCGATTATTTTTGAAATTAACTTCGAATTATTTCGATTTATATTTTTGGCGATTTTGTTATTTAACAGGGAGAACATAAGAAAAAAAAAAAAAAGGAAAAATCAAAGAAACAATTATCATTAAAGAATAATAAAAGAATCAGTTCAAATATTTGATGAATAATTGATGAATAATTGATGTCATCCATTATTTCCATATTCATGATTTGTTAAAATAAATAAACAAACCACTTTCTCATCGATTTTTAATGTGATAGATTTTCTTTGTTTAAATACATCATAATTAATGAAGCCTTGTATGTTTGAATATAGCGAAGAATCAAAATCACGAGTTCAGGAAATATTTTCCCAAGTCGAGCAACTTAAAATAGAAGAAAAATTGTTGCTGTACCTGAAGCTTCCATTGTCGTTGAACAATACAGGAGGAACCGTTGATCCATTGAGGCAGCCATTAAATCCATTAGGAAATCGTTATGAAATTCATCAGACTATTATGTGGATTAAAACACATTTGGAAGAGGATCCCGAAGTTTCTTTACCGAAACAAGAGGTCTACGAAGAATATAAGTATGGTTAACATAAATATATATATATATATACACCGCATCTATAATGAATTTCTTGTAATTTTAAACAAATTGTAATATTTATGCAATATTTATTTTTAGCATGTACTGTATAAGGAATTCTATGAAACCACTATCAACTGCAGATTTTGGAAAAGTTATGAAACAAGTCTATCCACGGGTACGTCCTCGAAGACTAGGCACACGAGGCAATTCTCGCTATTGTTATGCAGGAATGCGCAAGAGAGTTAAATTGGAAGCTCCAACGTTGCCTAACATATCTGGAACACAAACTGTGAGGCGCATCTTATTTCTTTTCTAATATCTTATATGTATATAATTGTTAAGTAATACTTTAACGCGTATTAATAATGATTATATCAGTTGTTTGATATTTTTAGGAGGATGGTACGGAAGAAAATATTACAGAAGAAATGCTAGGTGCTGCTTCAACGTTAATTAGGGAATGGGCAGAAAATCTGTTAGGTTTTAAATTTCCAACTTTGAGTGCCTTAGCACGTCATCTTGTGGATAATGTTTGTGTCGATGTACGATCGTTAGCTGCCATATGCATTTTATCTGCTTCCAGGAAACCAGATACTTCATCCAACGAAGGTATATGCAATAAAATATAATGTGAAATATTCTGATACTACTTTAATTAATACATATATTTATATTGATAGAGTCAACGACTGATTTGTCAGTTACATCGATATCTGGAAAATCAGGAAAATTAAGAGAAGCGCAGATACAATTACAACGTAAGCTACAACAACGAGAGCATATAAAAGCTCAAAAGCATAGGCACATTGACAATGTTACACTGGTATGATATTAAAATATCCATGATATTAGAAATTCCATGCAATTATAAATATATATATATATAATTATAAATAATATTTCAGAATCAGAGTAAAGAAAAGATAGTTGATAATAAAGCAGGAGTGAATAAGGGAAGTAAAAAAGTTAAGACCAATCAGTCGCCTCAGGGTACAAATACGCCAGCTGGACAATATGTGTTAAACAAACATAATCTACCTGCCACTGTTACAGTTCGGCAGAAAAAGGTTCTTAAAGCTAGCAGTCAAGCTTGCAACAACGTTTCTCCGGAATCCAACTGTGATAATATAGTGGTACAATCGATCGAAGATGTTCAGAATAATAGCAGCACTAGAGTAGTAACGACCAATTGCGTTAATTCAAAGCGAGACGTTAAACCTAAAAATTCCAGAAAGCGTGCCAATCTCAATGTACCAAATCAACCATCGGAATCCAGTCCTGAGAAGCAAACTAAACTTGCAGAACAGCAGGTACATGAAAATGTAGAGCATTCCAGTATGTTGTTACCTAGGCTCTCATCTGTACAACGTGCGGGAAAAATATCAGTGATATTAGCTAGTAACCTGAAGCCTACCAAGTGTAAAGCCACAGAGGCTGTTAGTAATCAGCCTGCCAAAAACTGTGATATTGAATTGCCAATATGTTCCAAAAATTCCATCAAAATAAATGGTTGTCCCAGTAATTTTGATTCCAATGGAAATGGAACTGAAACATCGACTCTATTAACCAAGGATCAACTAAGATTGTTGCAAGAAAATTCAAACCTCATAAGTAAGAATGATAAGCTATGTTCCCTCGATGCGGATGCTTTGGATGATTATTTAAACGGGGGTAATAATTCTCAAGAACAAGAAGAGGAATTGTTGCAGTATTTTCAACAGAATAGTTCGTCTAGTTCAGATGTAGAGGCAAATGCCATTACCGGGGACACAGAACAAATCTCAAGATCCGACAAAGTGTCCCAGCTAAGATTAATATTAGAACAAAATTTAAAGGCTGGTACCGAGCACCCACCTATCGACATAGTATCCGCTACTATTGTCAGGCAGAATACAGTTAGTGAAAAACAGGAGGTTACTCAAACGCATAATTTGATACTTCCAACATTGTTAAATCATTCGAATCAGACTAATACCAGACGCAGGGTTAGTTTTGAAACGAATGTCGTCGAACATGTACAAGATTCCAATGTTGTTGCGAACACCGTACCTCAAAGCCCAAATACGCGTCGTAGGATATTTAATTTCACACCTATATCACCTGGCCCACATTCGCCTATCAATGGTCGTGCTTCCAAATCTAATTCCGCAAACGCGAGTCCCTTCGTATCACCAAGAAATACACCAGTGCCTCGATCACGGAGTAATCTACAGGGTGGCAGTTTTAGATCACGAGCAAGTCAGAAATCTTTGTCGCGTTCCATATCGTGCAGCATGCCATATAGTGGAAAGAACGATACGTTTGTAGTACCTACCAGTGGTCCTGAATTAGTACGGCAGGTGTCTATGCCACAATCACCTCTTACTTGTACAAAGTCATCTGAAGTACAGGTTGGTGGTAGCACGACACATATTGCTATAACATCCAAACAAGAAAATCAAGGATCACAATGCCCTCCATTTTTAGCATCCGATTTGGCACCGCAAAAACAATTGCTTATTAATTATCCAAGCCAAGAAAATTTACAAGAGATTAAGAATGTCTATCAAAGATCGCAACCAACAGATCAGGAGATCAGTGAATTATTGCTTGGCAATAAACAGTTTACCACTGAACAGCTTTTTTATAGATCGCAATCTGTTCCTTTACATCGTATGGTAAATCCTGCGTTAATGTCTCCTATCTCAACGCAACAGTGTCTCTCAAGTTTTCAAAGTCATAGTTTTAATCCATCTACAAGCAGTTCAATAGCTCCTACTCCTGTACCTAGTGAATTCAATGACTTTGGTTCTATAGGTCAATCAGAAGGGACTTCTTATTTATTAAATGACGTCGATCCTAACTTTATATCGGACGATCAACAATTTTTAATGAATGACAAAGAGATTTCAACGGAAAATATAACTAATATTCTTAATATCCTGAGCGAAGAGGGATCACAAAGTTTACAGATTTTACCTGAACAGTCTGGTGAAGAAGATTTGATAGATAATAATGGGATAGTTTTAGATACTTTACCTAATTCAAATATCAATTTGTCTGAAGAGGACATGTTAGACTCTTCTAATGTTCTTGATAGTTCGGTGAATGGAGCATTGCAGAAGATCATACAATCTCGTTCTTATCCAAATACACCTCTTCCTGCACCGGTATCAACATATACACCATCTTACGCAGAAGATAGTAATGGTTCAAGATCGTATCCCTCAACACCTTTGCATACAGTTCAATCTCAGGAAGTTTATCAAGAGTCTAATGAACCAATGCTCTCAAGTCCTACGTTAAATTCTTTGAATTTACACGGAGACACAACGAGTATTGCAACGTCGGATAATGGTTGTAGGAATGTCGCAGATTTACTTGGAACCACCTTCCTAGAAGAGCACGACGGAGAAACAGACGATTTGGATCCTCTTAGCAATTTTGATGGATTGCAAGATGTTGATCCATTGACTCCTTTGTTCAATGAAGTGACAGAGCCTAATCGTTGAAAAAGGTCTATTTTGACACGAGGTAACTCAGATATTATTGCATTCTTTATAGAAATTTATTAAATATTTTTTTATTTAGTAGTTCGCATGTTTTTCATCAATTATATATATCATATATAGTACTTTGTAGAATAATAAATACACTGGTATTATTATTATTATGCAAAGTACTTCGATATTATCGTTATCACAAAGAGAAATTAATGAATTTATAAGTTCATTCATGGTGTCACAGATGTCAATCTATTTTAAGTTTAACGTTTAACTATGGAAATTTTATTTTGAAATTTTCCATTATATTTTCTTTTTTTTTTCGGCTGCTATTTTTTAATCTTTTCATTAATATAATTTTTTCTCTGTTATAATTATTGCAAGAGTTGGACAAATTTAGGATTACCTTTTCTCATAGTTTCATTGCATAAAAATAACGAATTTACTCATTGATATAAAAAAAGGATTACAACAACAAAAAAGAAACAAAATAATTTAAAAGTAGATGCGATGGAACAGTTTATAATAGCCTCTTTTTGTAATATTTGATATCGAAAATTTTCCGATGATTTTACGAGAACAACACAAGATGTTCTCTAATATTTACAGAATAAAAAAAAAAGCTCATAACTGCCATATTTTTAAAACTCGTCGTATTATTTGAATTGTTGTCTATCTAATTTATATAACACTATAAAGGCACTGTGACACGAAGTTCTAAACTTTTGATAGTGTTTTTCTGACTGCCAACTGTCAAAACACATTATAAGAAATAATATTATAATAAGGTCTTTAGAATCTTTTGATGCAAAATTAATTAAAATTATAATAATGTTGAAATAATGACAATGAATAAAGAAAGAAAGAAAGAAAGAAAGAAAAGAAAAAAACAAAAAAAGAAAATTAAAAAAAAAAAAAAAAAAAAAAATTGCTCTCAGCTGAGGACTATTGCTATCTTATATCATCTTACATTAGATATGAGAAAGAGAAAAAAAAGTTGATTTTATACAAATACTTTAATNTAATCAACCTCTTAAGAATATTTATTAAAATTTGATTAAAAGAAATAAAAAAAAAGAAAAATCATATAATTATATAATTTAATATAACATTCCATATATAATAATAATTTATGCGTAAGTTAAATGCGAATAAATCATGATTACCGCATTATTATTTATTACATACGTAATGTATGTAATAAACTACTTTTCTCTTGAAATAAAGGTAAAAATAATGGATTTATTTTTCCTCAACCTAATATATATATATATATGTATTCACATAATGTTCTACGTTGTAAAACATAAATTTAAAATTTTACACGTGTCATAAGTTCAATCGATAAAACATTTAACCCTGCGATTCCTAATTCGTCTCATATAAAATATAAAATGAAAGAATGAAAGGAATTTTTTAACCGATCAATAACAAACATATTAGATTAAAATATATATTCGATTTAAAAAAAAAATTAAATACATATATAATCTTTACAGAAATATAAAATATAAAACATTTACTCTTGGGATTAATTTTTTACAAATCGTTTATTATTGAAAATAAGAAAAAAGAAAAATAAAAAGAAGAGAAAAAAGAAAATAAGGAAAAGAAGAGCAAGAAGATCTAATAAGTAATTAATAACTTATATAGTGTTGTTTTAATAATGATATAAAAATTAATATCATATATACCAAAAGTATGCAAGGGGCTTTAAAACGCTGCGTTTCTCTATATAGGATTTAAAAAAAAAAAAAAAAAAAGAATTGCTCTCAGCTGAGGACTATTGCTATCTTATATCATCTTACATTAGATATGAGAAAGAGAAAAAAAAGTTGATTTTATACAAATACTTTAATAATCGTCGTTTTGAAGCGCTTGTTTCTAAGTCATTTAAGAACATGTTAATGTGACTCTGTTATTTAACCACTCTATGAAATATTAGCAATCAACTGTTAGGCATTGGTATTGTGCGGTATTGAACCCAGTATATATAATAGAACGTATATACTTTATAATCCTATAATTGATTAGTAATTACATTTTTTAATAAAGTATACAGTCTTAGTTGATCATTTTTATTACTTATCAAATTAAATTTATTCACAAACGGTGTTTTTTTTTTTTTTTTTAAATCCTATATAGAGAAACGCAGCGTTTTAAAGCCCCTTGCATACTTTTGGTATATATGATATTAATTTTTATATCATTATTAAAACAACACTATATAAGTTATTAATTACTTATTAGATCTTCTTGCTCTTCTTTTCCTTATTTTCTTTTTTCTCTTCTTTTTATTTTTCTTTTTTCTTATTTTCAATAATAAACGATTTGTAAAAAATTAATCCCAAGAGTAAATGTTTTATATTTTATATTTCTGTAAAGATTATATATGTATTTAATTTTTTTTTTAAATCGAATATATATTTTAATCTAATATGTTTGTTATTGATCGGTTAAAAAATTCCTTTCATTCTTTCATTTTATATTTTATATGAGACGAATTAGGAATCGCAGGGTTAAATGTTTTATCGATTGAACTTATGACACGTGTAAAATTTTAAATTTATGTTTTACAACGTAGAACATTATGTGAATACATATATATATATATATTAGGTTGAGGAAAAATAAATCCATTATTTTTACCTTTATTTCAAGAGAAAAGTAGTTTATTACATACATTACGTATGTAATAAATAATAATGCGGTAATCATGATTTATTCGCATTTAACTTACGCATAAATTATTATTATATATGGAATGTTATATTAAATTATATAATTATATGATTTTTCTTTTTTTTTATTTCTTTTAATCAAATTTTAATAAATATTCTTAAGAGGTTGATTAAAAAAAAAAAAAAGAAACAAAAGGAGAAAAAAAGAGAAACAAAGAAGCACTAAAGAGCATACTCTTCAATATTTATTTTATTCTTTTTAAATTGCACGATCATTATCAATTAGTTTGTTAATAATAATTACAAACGATGATTACGTCAAATATTATATGCTTTTTATGAAGAAATTATTATGAAAGGTATATAAAAAGATAAATAAAATAATTTTGAAAAATTAAGTAAGAACCATACAGATTAAATAATACGCAATAAAATATCAATTAAATTTTTTATCTTACATTAATTGAAAGTGTTGTCTTTTGTTTTTCTGTTTTATTTAATTATTTTCAATGATAAACGCATTTTTTGCAAAATTCGATCGCGTTTGCAACGACAACGAATTACGTAAGAAAATAAATTAATGTTTATTTTTTTTTATTTTTTTTCTTTTTTTTTTCTCAACCGAAAAATTATTTGATTACGATTGTTTTCATTGCATTAACGAAAATCGTTGCGTAAAGTTATTATATTTGTACAAATATTAAACTGATTAATAATCAAGTAGTATATGTATGTGTGATAAGGAAAGAGAAAAAGAAAAGAAAAGAAAAGAAAAGAAGCAGAAAAAGAAAAAGAAAAAGAAAAGGATTTAATATAATTAATGAATAAATCGTGATAGAAAGAAAGAGAAAGAAGATCGTATTCGAGAAGAAGAAAGGAAATAAAACCGGATTTATATTCACAAACGTAACTACTTACTTACGAAATATTCTTGTTGTGAGAAATATATAAACAAAGTATTTAACAAAACATTCGACCAATTCTCGAAAATCTTGCGAATTTCTATAAGAGAAAAAAAAAAATTAAAATAAAATAAAATAAAATAAAAAGAAACTGCTACTTGTAATTAAATATAAGTAAGGAACACGTATTATGATATTAATTGTTACACGCACAAAAACGATTTAGCTAGAAGTTATTCAATATAATCGTATAATCAGGGTTTTTACCGTACTGTCGTACGTGCTTTTTCGATTTATCTAGATACAAGTTTAACAAAATAAATATATATATATATATATATATACAT